TGTGTGTGTGTGTGTGTGTGTGTGTGTGTGTGTGTGTGTGTGTGTGTCTTTGTTCCTCTACTCTCACCGCAGTTCTGGAACCATGAAAAAATTAACTCTCCCACTGTTCCTGGATGAGGTGTATAATCTGCTTCCCTATGGCCCCACTCAGCTTCTCTCTAACTTTCTAGACCAGAGTTCCCTTACTTGGCCCCCTGTTCTCCCGTATGTGTTATTCTCCCTTATGTAAGCTCCTAAGGGCAATGACTGACTCTGTGTTTGTATTTGTATATCTAGGGTTTATCACAATAGTAAGAGCTTAATAAATGCCTCTTCACATATGCACACACACACACACACACACACACACACACACACACACATACACACACACTAACATTCATCTTCCTCTTTTTGATTTTGTGTTGGCTATCCCCCATAGCTGGAATGCTCTGTCCCCTTACCTCTGCCTCCTAGTTTCCCTGCTTCTTTCAATACTCATCTCAAAGCCTACCTTCTGCATAGAATCTTTCCTTGCTAGAAAGCGGATGTATAAGCCTCTCCTTTCAGATTATCTTCCATTTACTCTGTATATATCATATCATGTCATATCATATCATATCATATCATATCACATATATCTACCTGATTATTTACATCTATCTATCTATCTATATACATACCTGATTATTTACATGTTGTCTTTCACATTAAAGTGTATGCTTCTTGAGGGCAGGCACTCTTTTTTTTGCCTTTCTCTGTATCCCCAGTACTTAGCACCATGACTGGCACAGACTTAAGTGCTTGATAAATGTCCATTGACTGAATAGGAGAGCCATGCTAAAACTGCAACTTTCCAGTGGGGAAAATCATCTGGCTTGCTTCCCCTTGATAGTGAAGTCATCAGAGGTGGAAGGACTGATGCTGAGCTCTTCCATCCAAAATAATGACTAGAATACTTTGGCAGCCACAAGCCACCATATAAAACAAGGGTTTCATGTCTGCATGTTTGAATTCATTTCATATCTTTTCTTTGGATTATAACTAAGTGGAGCAGTTGACTTGATTGGCTAAAGGTAGTAATCTAAAACTCTTTCTCTGGGAATATACTATAGTGATGCCTTAAGTAAATGAACAAACAAATAAATAACTAAGTAGATAGACAAATGAATTAATAATATATAACAAGTATATAAGCAGACAGGTAGATAGCCTGTTCATCAAACTTGTCATAGAATTTCTCACATCTGAGCCCAGAGATTTTCTTTGACTTCTTTTGTTGAAATGACAGCTCTAAATAAGCATGGTGATCTTTAATGACAGCCATGAGTCCATCTGCTTTAGCAAAAATCCTTTTGGCCCCCTATGTCAGTTTTTCCAAAGGTGATTTATAAGGGCAGGAGTTGAGAACATGGTTAAGATTTTGTCAATTCTGATTACTAAACACTGTGCCTCTCTGTTGGACTTAATTCCTTCACAATGGGGCAGGTATAGGGGTGCCTTTGTGGCAATGTTTCCTACTGTGAGTGATGGCCACGGCATTACACAATCACAGCATTTTGGAGTGGGAAGGAACCTAGTCCAGACTTCACTCTTTTCATCATAGCAGAGTTAGAACTGGTACAGTGGAAAGAGCAATGACTTTAGTCAGAGAACCCAGATTCAGATCTTAGCTGCGACATTTTATTATCTTTGTGACCTCGAGCAAATCAGTCTCCCTTGACCTCCGTTTGTAAAATTAGAGGATTGGACCAAAGTGTCTCAGGGGTTCCTTTCAGGTGTAGACACATGATTCTATGATCCTAGAATCCAGATTTCCTTACTACTAGCCTTGGCTTCTTTCTACAAAAATGTGATGCCTCTGTGTCTATTTACTTTATGTTGTAGGAGAACATAGAGGTAATTCCAGGTGAATTTTTATAAACTAATGATATCGATGGAGCTCTACTACTATTCAAGAAGACTGGAATTTTACCTGACCATAACGCTCCAACCGCAGCCAGTAAGACATCAGGGTGTGGGAAGAAAATTATAACGTGTATTTTTCTCCCCCCCACCCCCACCCCCGCCACTACTCCATTAACTGTTCCAAAGTTGTATGCTCCTTACCAATAAATAATTTAACACATCGTGCTAGAGGTAGAAAAGTTATGTAATTAAAAACTTTTATCTACTTCTATGCCAGTGCAGAGCAGTAAAATCTTGGCAATGACTAATTTAATCCAAAAATAAGTATAATCAGGCCTTAATAAAGAGAGAAGTAATGTTGGCCAGGAATCTTGCATCAAGCAAAGAAAACAGATAGGAATTGCAAGTAATCAGTTATGCTCAAAATTTCCATTAGTTTCAGACATACTTGTTTGACTGGTTTTTAAAGTTTTGTAGAACAGATCCTACCCAATTAGGACCATACATTATCTCTAGCTTCTAAACTGATGCAAATATTACCTGTTTTCTGATGACAATCAGTGACTTAAGGAGGCTTAGCTTCTTATGCAAGCATTAACATTTCCAACAGGTGGCAGCCAGGAGCATAGAAAGAACCAGGCATAGTGTCTGGAATTCAGTATGGCAGCCCTCTAGAAAGAAAAACAAAGACAGAACAGAAGATCTTGTAAGCTACCTATCATCAAAGTGAAAGGAGAAATATACTTCTTTCTCCATTGGTACAAGACATTTTAAGGATGAAAATGGAAAATATATTAAATTAAGTGTACATTCAGTGTAAATTTGGTTTACTTACCCACCTACCTTACTTATATATCTAGATGTGCCAAATACATATTTAGCCAAATTAGTCTTTAACGTCCTTGTAAAATGGGAGGGTTGGCCTGGATAGTTCCTAAAGGCCCTTCCAGCTCTATATATATGACCCTATGTAATTTGTATTGCTGAAAGTCTCATATATTTGCACTAGTTTTAGAGTCAGAAGATTTGGATTCTAATCTTATCCAGGCAGAGAAATTTTGGCACCTGGAAAAATTCATTGAAGGGGGAGGGGGGTCATCAGAGCTATTCCTAGACCATGGATAAACCAATCAATAATTATTAATTAAGTGCCTACTATTAGTCCATCAATAAACATTTCTTAAGCACCTACTATGCACCAGGCACTGTACTAGGCACAGGGGTTACAAATATAAACAACAAAACAATCCCTACATGCAAGGAGCCTACATTCTAATGGGAGAGACAAGAACATATAGAGTATATGTAGAAGAAATACAAAGACAATGCATTTAAAGTAGGTAAATATAAAATAGTTTGAGAGGGAAGGTGTGAGGGGGATAATAAAAGTTTCATGTAGAAAATGGTCATTGAGGTGAGTATGGGAGGAAAAGAAGCCTCCTACAAGGCAGAAGTGAAAGTGCAGCAAATTCCATGTATAAGGAACGGCCAATGAAAGTGGAAATGGGAGATGAAGAGCTAGGAGCGAGAAACCAAGTGAAGGAAAGTTTGTCTGGATTGAAGAGTTCAGGAAAGGGAGTGATAAACAATGAGACTGGAAAGACAAGTTGAGGCAAGGTTGCGAATATTTTTTTAAAAAGAAACACAGGAGTTTATATTTGAATGTAGAACAACAGGAAGCCACTGGAGTTTTTTAAGCACAGGAATAACAGTCAGATACGCTCTTAAGGAAAATCATGTTGACAGCAATCAGGAGGAAGGACTGTAGTGGAGAGAGACTTGAGGCAGTGAAATCAATTAAGAGGTCACTGCTATAACCTAGGAAAGAAGTGATGAGGCCCTGAATTGAAGTAGTAGTTGTGTTAGTAGGGAGGAGTCAGACGCAAGAGACGTCGTGCAGGTAAAAATGCAAGATTCGGCAACTGATTGGATATTTGGAGTGCAGAGCCAGGGATAATAACAAGCAACAAATCCAGGAGACTGAAAGAATAATGGTGCCTTCCAGAGAGGTAAGAAAGTTTGGAAGAGAGCAGCATTTTGGAGGAAAAGACCTGGAATTCTCTTTTGAACATAATGAATTTCAAATGTCTCTGGAACGTCCAATGTGAAATTTCCAATATGCAAATAGTGATGCTGGATTTTAGCTCAAGGGAGATATTAGACTGATAGATATCACACATCCCATGTAGGCAATTGTGTGTAGTACTTATCCACTAAGTCATAGGATAGTTGTGATCTGCTTTTAGAAGAAGGAGTTCTACACACTGCCAAAATCCCAGATCCTTTCAAGTAGTAACAGTGTAGGAACAAATTTCAAGATGTATTGGTTTCTGAGAAAATTATACAGAGAGGAATCTGTTTGGGGTTAGACGGCAGGCATGACAACAGAATATGGAAGTTCCACTTGACTCTCATTCCTCTGACCACCAAATTAAGATCCTGAAATCTCCCCACTTACTCCATCACCCTTTCTGAACACTTTATAGCTAATATCTGAAGCACACAACTTAGCATCCCCATGCATTTGTTTTCTAATCATTTTTCAATGTGTCTTGTTTCATCTCCCCCACCATATCATCAGCTCTTTGAGGGCAAAAAAAGCCCAAACCCATGTCTGTCTCATACTTTTTTATCTTTACACCTCCTCTCTCTTCCACTGTATAGAGGTCAGAGTTCGTGTCTACTTAACTTGCAAAATGCAGCATGAGCACAGCAGCCTGTGGGCTTTTGATAAATAATGCTATGTGAAGTAAACAGAACTAATAAAACGAGTGTATGTGTGTGTGCATATGTATAATGTCTAGAAAAACAAAAACAAAATGAAACCATATGTGTAATTACAATGATCAAGCTTGGCCCCAAAGAAGGGAAGAGAAGACTTATCTCCCTCCCTTCCCTTCAGAGATACAGGACTATGCATATGGAATATCATATAATTGTCAAACTTGGTTGATATGCATTTGATTATTTTACTGAATTGTCTTTTTTTTCTTTTTCTTTTATTCATATAAAAGATGATTCTCTGGGGAGAAGGATATATTTGGAAATGTAGATGGTATAAAAACAAAAGAGAATAATAAAATGTTTAAATAAATAATATTTTATCCTGCTGATAAAGACCTGATCTCAGGAGAGGGCATAGGGGTGTGGCAAAATGGATATTTCAAATTCAGCCTCAGACACTCACTAGATGTTTTAACCTGGGCAAATCACTTAGCTTCTATTTGCCTCAGTATGCTCATATGTAAAATGGAGATAATAATAGCAACTCCTTCCCCTGGTTGTACTGAGGATCAAATGAGATAATAATTGTAAAGTACTTATAAATATTAGCTATTATTATGAGAGATTTGGCTTGGAACTGAGATAAAAAGTCATGTTTCCTTACTCCTAATCTGATGTTCTTCCCACTACATAATAAACAACGAACATTTAACGCTTGCCACATTCAGAACACGACATTAGGTGCTAGAGGAGTATACAGAGTATATTTAACACATATGGTCAAAGATTATAAACTTTGAAAAATCGCTTCAGAAATCATCTAGTCCAATTCACTAGTTTTGTAGTGGAGGAAATTGCCACCCAGAAAGGTTAAGTGGCTTAACTGTGGTTACACAATGAATGAATAGCAGAGCCTAGATTTGAACACGGGTCATTTGACCCCAAAACCATCATTTTTAACACTGTATCATGCTGCCTACCATGATCCCATCTCCATAGATTTTATAGTCCATCTATCATACTACATGGGTACATAAAAATGCCCACCTCAAAATTTAAGGCATTGGTATCAGACAAATCTGTTAAGCTCTTGAAATTCCCTGGAAAGATATAATAGGAGGTATAGTACATCTATAATTAAATCTTGATGATGGAGGAGAAGAGCAACATGAATAATCAATCAATAAGCATTTATTAAGCCCCTATTATGTGTCAGGTACTTAGTTGTGCTAAGAGATGCTAACAGGCAGAGATACAAAGATAAAAGGGAAACAACCCCTATTCTCAAGGTGCTTATGTTCTAATCAGGGAACCAATATGAACTTTTATTAATTAATACTACTATTATTAAAAAAAATAATTATTGTGGGAAAGGATTGGTAGACTTTACCATAAGGCCAAAGGTATCCTTGCCACAAAAAAAAAAAAAGATTAAGAATCCATGATCTAACTAATCCAACCTTTTCCTGAACAGGGATGACCTCAATGGCACCCACAATAGGTGGACATTTAATCTTTGCTTGAAGGGAGTGGGGACTTACTATGGTCTGATGCCTCCTATCATGCTTTGGAACAACTGTCATTGTCCAGAAGTTTTTTCTTAACATCAAGCGTGTGTCTCCCTCTCTCTGACATTCATCCACTGTCCATCACTCACCCTCAAGTTTTGAGAATTTCCCTTCTCTCAGGGAAATTGAGCTCAGAGGTGACAAAAGCAGGAGCTAGGTTATTACTCAGACTTTCCATTTTTGAATATCTATAGTCTAAATTTAGATAAATGTATTTTTCTCTGTCTCGGTAGATTACCCTCCCATTACTTTCCCCATCAGCTTCCCTTCCAGGTTTATCTTCTTTCATGTTCCCTGGCAGCTGGCCTCTTGTTGCTGCTGGAGGTGAATTATGCAGGGTGGTCAAGAGGGGAGGGAATTAAGGGGGAGAAAATCTTTTGCAGCATCTGTTGAAATGGTTTTCAACTGACGGACACTTCAAATGCATAGAGCACCCAAAGAATTGAACTGGGGACTACTAAAAAAAAAGACTGTGACATTTGCCCTTTTCTAGTCCGTGGGGAAAAAAAGCAATCTATTCTCTTCACATATAATTCCCATTAGTGCTAAGGAGAGCTAGAGAGGCTCAGGGAGAATGTTCTTTGGTGTTGTCTAGGCCCAGCACTTTTGAACTCATCTATGGCTCTCATTCTTTATTGTTTGCAGAATGGCATAGGGAATGAACACCCTCTCAATGCCCTCTCAAGCCTCAACCCTTCTGGGCTCACATGAGAGAAACTGGCAATTTAGAAAGAAGTAAATCTTCAGAAAATGGGCAAAATACATATGGAACTAATTTTATTGCAGACGAGGTCTTGCAAGATATATGGCCATAAAAGAATAACTAGTCACAGCCCTGAGGAAAATCATTAGCCCCACAAGCCCATATTCTTGTTGTGGCCTCCTCCATTTTCCAGGAGGGGGCTTTGACCTGAATGCAAAAGGGCTCTCCTTTGCTTCTCATTATTCCCTTTTCTGGTTAGCACCCTCTTCCTTTCTTTCAACAGGCTTACATGTAAATGTACACACATACAGACACAAATACACACAAAGGCATACAAACAACACCCCTCCTTTTCCTCATCTGTCATCTCTCTCTGTAACTCGTTTCAGTCCAATCCCCAAAGCACTAGAAATGTCAGTGATTAAACACAACCAAATTTGGCCTGCCTCCAAGCTAGCCTCCATCTGATTGGTTTTCACTCTGCCCCAGTTTGGAGCTCTGTTCATTACATCAGCCTGACCCTATAGCACTAACTCCCATAGTAAAGAAGTTAATCAGTGAAGGGGGTAGAGCTCTTGAAACGAGGCAGTTTTACCCCAAACTCACTGGAGCAATTATGTGTTAATTAGAGCTTTGTCAGGCATCAAGCATAACAAATCTGGACAAATGCAGTAGG